CAATGACCAATACGCCCCCACTCTTTTAAGAGGATGATAGTCGTTCAATGGTTTGGTTCAATTTGGGCTATTCCCACCAACACACACACCTCTCGAAATCTTATCCGGAATACTTTAGGCATGGGAAATCCTTAAGATGGTTTTAAAATATGTTTCTATGATCAATTATGAAAATTGTAGCTCAAAAAATGATACAGATCTTGTGGTTCCACGAATTCTTGAGAATGACCAGTCTAGATAATGTGTTACACTCTACATTATTTTGATCAAGGTCCATATGATCGATTTGAAGGTTTTGTGATACCGAAACCATAATTTTTAGTGAGGTTTTACTTTTTTCAATTGAGCCTTGTCCTTATTTTTCAAATAGTTTAGGAGTTAGTTCTTTGAAAGTGTTAATGGGATAGTGTGGGTAGAAATAGAAATCGCAACTTAGTGATTATTGCTCCTCATGGTTGGTTTGCTCTACCCTTTTAGCACAGTTGAAATGTAACGACCATCTATTCTATTGTTGGATATTGGCTACAATTATTCAAAATGCATGTTTCGATAAAATTATTTTCTTGATAAGAAAGGTTAATGAATGATTTAAGTGGAATTCACATAAGGAATATTGTTAGATATGGCTACAATTATTTCAAGATTTTGGGATTCGTTAATCAACCATCATGGTGATTATGAATATGAACTTTGTAATTTTTTTTAAAAAAGAACATATATATTTTTAATATATTTTCCGCCTTCCATTTTGAGGTACAGTGGAAGCACGTCCATCTCTACAATGGACGTCTCATGCATGAAGAGATGCACATAGTGAGTTGGCTGAGTCACCAAAACCGTGTTGTTTACGCAAAAACCTCTTCAAATGAAAGAAACTGAAATGAAGTATTTTCCTTAGGTTTAAATTTTGTTTGTTAATAAGAAGAAATACCCAAATGTGTGCAAGTCTGCTGGTTTCGGATGATGGTCTATAGTGTAATGTTTATCTCCTATAATGTTACAATAATGAGCCTCCCTACCACAACTGTGTATGAGAGAGAGATATCACCTATAATGTTACAATAAGGAGTCAGAGATATGCAACCAGTGTTGTTAAATTCACTTAGCTTCGACCAAAGCCTTGGATTCTATGCTTAGACCAAAGCGAAGAGAAGCCTGAAAATGCTGCTTCGGTCAGGTTCTGATATGTTTCAGGGCCGATTCAGCCTAAACAAAAAAATACCTATATAATTTTTATTTTATTTTAAATTTTTTATCATTTTTATATTACATTAAAAAAAAAAAATCTGAAATATTTCTGAAAATTACACAAAACATTGAATTGCTGCATTTTTCTAACCAAACTGAGAGAGAGACTATGAAGTGAATCTGACAACATTGGATGGAAGAGTCAAGAGGGCACTTATTATAGAAGTACCAATATGAGAGTGAGAAATATTCTATCTTTTAAGGGAAGGGCACAAAAGAGTAAAATAACTCTACCATGTCTAAGAGACAAACTATTGGAGATTGTCCATCTAAAGAAAAATAAATATTGAGAATGAGGCATGCAGGAGTGCCAAAGATATTTTCCTAATGCGCCTTATGTACTTTCTTATCACGAAATTGCAGTGAAAGCAAAAAGCATTCAAAGAAGCCCTCCTCTCCCAACCCCCCTCACCCACCACTCCATCTCCCTTAATTCAATGCCAGGGACCAACTTCACAGACCACAATTATCTCTCTCTCTCCTTCTTAAATGCCTTCTAATCTTAGCAATGGCCGCCCCATGTGCACCCTCTTTTCATGGCTGTTGCAAAGCCATGCCTTTAAATTAAGTCACACCTTGGATGAAAGTTTGCTAGGAAGAAAATTGCAATTTAGGAGATGAGAGAGATGGCTGCAGTGGTGGTGGTGGTGGTTGCAGTGTTGGCCGCTTGTTTGGCAGGCGTCGAGTCTCAGGCCCTGGTGCCTGCCATTATTACGTTCGGAGACTCTGCTGTTGATGTTGGAAACAACGATTACCTCCCCACCATCTTCAAGGCCGACTTCCCACCGTACGGCAGGGACTTTGTCAACCGCTCTCCGACAGGAAGGTTTTGCAATGGAAAGCTCGCCACCGATATCACTGGTACACAGCTAGCTCTTCTCTCCCCATTCCCATTCTTGGAAGTATGGCGTATCCTCCATGTGTACATTGTCCAACACGGCGAGGCACTCATTGTTGGTTCTCGAGATGGACGGTGGATATGAACTGCTATTCTGTCCAAATGTCTGACATTTTCATGTTACAGTTCATCTCAACCGTTGATCTAGAGAACATATCATGGATGTCCTGCATGAGTGGTCTTGCATTTAATATTGTAGATGTTATGAATGGGCTTAAGACTGACGAGGTGGTTAACATGGCCATACTCCACAACGTGACGCCTAGAGTTTTGATTCTTACCATAGTTAGAGTTTTGAGTCTAGAGTTTTGATTCCTACCATAGTTAAGAGGACCCTCCTTTGTTGAACTACTCCACCAAAAGAAAAAAACAGAAAAAGGGTATCATGTAGATGCTGTAATTTCCCTTCTATTGGTTTTGGTTGGGGAACTAACTTCATTTACTTTTTTGGTGGAGTAAGTTGGTGTTTGACCTTTGAATGTAGGGGGGCAACGGATCGGTTTGGGTCTGGACCCGGACTTGACCCCCTCCCAAAAAAAGGTATATTTAAGTATATTTATATACATGTGTTATTTTAATACTATAACTAACAATATATATTTATATTTATTTAAATGGGTCCACCTAGGTCCAGATCTAAATAGTGTTCGGGTCTAATATTTGGACCTAGACCTTACCTATTGGGTCCAATTTTTGGACCTATACCCAGACCTTGGTTGAGTCCGGTCGTCAGGTCTAGATCTGTTGCCACCCCTGCTTGAATGTAAGTTCTATGGCCTTTAAACCACAAATGAGCCAAGAGGTCCCCCACACTCATTTTTTTAATTTCCATCCTCAAATTTGTTCTCAAATTTGAAAAGTTAGCAATGCTCTCTCTCTCTTGTGTGGATGCAGCTGAGACCTTGGGTTTCACCAGCTTTCCTCCAGCCTACCTCAGCTCCCAAGCATCGGGGAAGAACCTCCTCATTGGAGCCAATTTCGCTTCTGGTGCCTCAGGATATTATGACAAAACTGCATATCTCTATGTAAGTCCAAGTGACAGGGAGGTTTTTGCAACTCTATTTAGGCCAAGGTCTATTCAGTAAAAATCAGATATTGTGGTCCGGCACCACAATATCATCTAAAGGCGGGTGCTTTGTTTTTTTTGGGTAATTCAGTAGGGAGGACATGCATCTATCGTTTTTTTAAATAAATTAAAAGTTAGTTTTTTTTGAAGTATCAGTGGGATGGTGTTAGTGGTGGAAATAAAAACCACATGGTGACTCGGGTGTAGGGTGCTACCATCACGACCCAAGCCCCTTTCCCATAGGCGAGTGCTCTTCAAATAAGCAGATTTGGTATTCGCTCCAAAGTGGGCGCTCTTAAGATTTCAAATAGCAGACCACCTTATTAAAATCTCCAAAAAAAACTCCAAAAAAAACTAAGTCCTAAACTATTTTAGAAAATAGGGAGGAGCCTATCTTTTCCCCTAAATTACCCCGTCTTCTCCACTAAATTACCTTTAAAAGACTGGGCTCGTGATTGGTGTATAGGGTATTGATATCACAATAAATTACAAACTGTGATTATTTTGTTTGAAATTTTTGTCCTATGCCAACATTATTTAGGAACGTAAATTTTTTGTTAAGGGTTGTATAAGATTATATGTTTTTAGTACAAGAAGGTGACAATCATTTTTGTCGATTAAAAGTGAAACATGATAGCTATTTTATAAAGTCCAAAAAAAATCTTCTAGATTTTGAATCTAATCAATTGCATACTCTTAATAGTCCAATTTTCCATCTACTTGCAAAAGGTGATTATAACCTTTTTGTATCATAATTTTATTTTTATTCTCTCTTAAGTAAAAAGAAGGACGAAAACCTCGTAATTAATGCCTCTCCTCTACCATGGACTCAAGACACTCTTGTACCTTACAAACTCAATAATTTAAAAAAAAGAAAAAGTAGAAGAAAATAAACACAAGAAAAAAATGGTGACCGGCCGAATCAACAATTTCACATTTCAAACTTCAAGAAAACCGAACAAAGATTAGCTGTTGTTCCAATCAATTGAGTAAATTCCCCAAATTTAGAGAGATGACACACAATATTTTCAGCCTTTCTTTTTATTTTTGCCTAGCATCATTTTCATTTTAAAATTTGTATTTTAATTGTAAACATAGCATGCAATCTCTTTGTCCCAACAACTGGAGTACTACAAGGAGTACCAGGGGAAGCTTGCGAAGATCGCCGGTGCTGCCAAGGCGAAATCGATCTTATCGAATGCATTGTACATTTTAAGCGAAGGCAGCAGCGATTGGGTTCAAAACTACTACATCGATCCTCTTCTCAACAAGATTTACACTCCAGACCAGTTCTCTGATTTCCTTGTCGGCATATACTCTTCTTTTATTCAGGTTTCATTCTCTCCTTTCTCTTTGTTCTGCAATGGCCTTTTTTCATTTCATTTATCCATAAGATTTATGAATGATTTAAAGTAAGAAGATTCAAATCTGAAAAGAACAAGGAAATGATTAAAATTGTGTGGAGAGATCGTAGTGCTTTTCATCTTCCTAAAGAGAGACGCAAATATAAGATTTGATTGTTTGAAATTTAAAACATGAAAAAGCATGCCATGTTACATTTAAGAAAATGAGAAAGTACGCCATGTTCAATAGGAAATGAAAGAAAGACTAATGTGATATTGTCGGGGGATTTTTTTTCTTTTTTTCACCCCTTTTCTTTTTTTTTTGTAAAGATCAGTAGTCTTATTACAATAACTCTTGCTTCAAAGAAAATAAAATTAATAAATCCAATATCTTAAAAACCTTGATGGCACTAAACTAATTTCTTTAAACAAAGAAAATAATCACAATACTTGTGCTTAGGAATATAAAGACAATATAATTAAATATGACAAGAAACAAAAAAGAGAGTGTCGGATATTACCTCAATCGAGCTTATTACACCCCACACCAAGTCACCACCATCCGTTGGTGGGGGATCAATGGTCAACCTTCAATCTCAACCGGGAAACAAGTTTAGGTCAAGCCACACCAATGGAACATGAACCCCTGTGGTCACAAACTCAAACCCTAGGTGAATTCCCTTAGCAACCTAATTTGATAGATATAGATTCTTTTTTTTGCTATACCCTAAACCCTTAGCTATAAATCTATAGTTGAGAGATGGGAGAGAGAAAAACTCTATAGCGTAAACCCTTAACTCTTTTCGCAATGTGGGAGAGAGAGATCCAAGAGGTGGAGAGAGTGGGCGTGAGCCTTTCGGCTTTCTTGAGAGAGAGAGATTTCCAAGATGAGAGACACTTTTCAAGAGTAGGGCTTTCTTGAGAGAGAGAGAGATTTCCAAGATGAGAGAGACTTTCCAAGAGTAGGGTGTGCCCCCTAGATGGATGAGAGAGAGATAGAAATTGAATATGAATCATTAATCATCGGTGACTTGTGGGGTGAGAGATTTGAGTGCTCCATTCTATAGATGGGCCATCAATATGTTATGGAAGGTGCTACAACCTTTATCCCCTTCTTTCCTTTGACCATTATCCCATCAATATAAGTTAAATAAATTAATACTAATAATAAGGTTGTGCTTTATCAAAAAATATGCATAAACCTTATCATGCTTTCTAAAAGATTCATTCAAATCTTTTTCAAGATAAATCACATTTCCAAATCTCATAATAACTTGCCTCCAAGCCAAAGTTATTACTTCAACCCCTATAAAATAGGAAAGACTCCTAAAAGTGGGGTGTGCCACCTAAAAGATGGCTACGTGAGCCCCACCAACTTACGGCATGGTGGGCCTATGTACATAATGGGTTCCAATGCTTTTTAAATATTTTTTAAAAATTAATAAAATATTTTAGAATTAATTTTAATAATTAAAACATTAAAAATCAATATCTCTATTTTTATAAATCTAAATTTTATAAATAAAATATCCAGATATCTAAAAAACATTAACTAATAATTCTAAAATCATATTGTCATAAAATAAACACAATTAAATTTATTAGATGGGATAAGGGTCCATATGATCTAGGAATAAACATTTGGGGTACTCCACCTTCAACTGTGGACGATGGTCCACATTTGGTTTACCAATTAGGACCCATAGTCCATGTAGAGGCTCATTAGTGAGCCACAAAAGTCTGACTAATGAGCCAAGGGGTCGTAATATAAGTTTGTAGATTTCAGTTCTCACCAGATATGTGCCAAGGTCACATAAACCTGATGCGACCATAACTCCTATGACACATATGGGTCTCTCGCACGTGCATAAGCTTCATCTTAAAAGGTGGTTCGCTTTTCCGAAGCGGCTATCATTATACATACGATGTGATAGTACATGGATGATGCTTTGACCCTCGTTTATAAAGGCCACCATTATGCATAAGGATCACACAGTCCCTCGACTCACTCATTCGGATATACTCTGACCTTATCAAGGGATGACCTATTAGAATCCTTATCAGATGGTTTTCTATGTCCAAGTAATATAGGTTTTTCCCAATCAGACCAACCTAGCATGTCAAATATAGTCTAGTACTTCTCGAGTAGTGGAGATAGAGGTAGGATCTGCTTTCAAATCCAAATTGGTGTCATCAGCAAATTGAGAGAGAAGAAGTTGGCGATGATTAGGCAATCGAAGCCCTTTCTGAGGTTAGGCTTTTTTCATAATGGGAAAAGATATAGCCCACAGTGTCCGTCAGCAGCAATCACAGATAGGGCCAGTGCAAGAGGACATCCTTGTCAAACAAATCGAGAAATTGAAATTGAAAAGGACAGCAGCACAACTCCATTAAATTCAGTGGAATGAAGGTGTGACCATTCATCTAGTTGGTTGAGACCATTCGTTTGCATAGTATGCCATAAGGGACCACATTCCTACTGCTGAGTTCATGTTCCACTATATCATTTCATTTTAAAAATATTCATAAAGCTTTTAATGACCACATTCAAACAAGAAGCACAATGTAATCATGCTCCCTATTGAACATTCACCATCCAATCAAGTATCGGATGATGGTCAATAGACCTTGGAGATGGACATACGATATGTCTCATCAATATAGTTTGACCATTGCACCAGCTTACCTCACCATTCTTGTCTCCATTGTCCACCATTGGCTAGATATTCACTACAAGATGCTCCCTAGATAGGAAACATGTACCTAGTAAAGCTATTGTCCATTCGGGCATCACAGTCCGAAAAATGAATGGAGAGTAATTAGGGGAGATCTAGAGAAAGCATTGGAGACATGTATATTTTTGGTGGGGGCACTCCGCCTCCATCACTAGCCCATCATCATATAAAACAGTCATATCTCATCAGCGATGTACCGTAACCCTCAAGAAGACCGTAGAAAGCCTATGGTCATAAGGGGTCATCACTGTCCAATCAATAATATGATGGTGATAGAGATATAGTAAGGCCTCCTAGATTATGATGCGGCTCCATGTGATGGGATATTGTGATATTGAGATGCCACGCGAGCACCAGTACCGTCCAACTATTCATTGAACGGTGATGGACCGGCCCCCATAACCATTGGTTACCCATGCTCATGAGGATCAATATAACTTTTCTCACCATTTCTTTTTCAGAATGAGACTCGGCTAAGGCATATTGCTCTCAAAGTCACATCATCAATATTTCGGCTAGTAAAGCATCTAGGTCCACTTTTGTACAGTATTGTACTATTTATATGGATGGATGGGGTTTTATTACGCCGAAAAAGTAGGTGTTGGGTGCCCACATTACTAAATAGGGCAGCCGCACGGAGTAACGTAAGACCGAGCACTTTTATTGAAGCAACCTTCCAATTTGTGAGAGGTATATTTTGTTTAGACAGTTGAAAAAGAAAGCTCGACTCCTTCCTCATTTGGCCTCTTCTTTTTTATAGGGTGAAATGGCACATGTATTGTTTTGTAATTTCATAAACATGGAAACATAACTTCAGGAATATGGGAAGATGTTAACATTTCATTCAAGTAATCCTTTTTATGGAATTATCTTCCACATTATTGATATCAAAATTACAGTTTTAGAAAGCAAGCAAATTAGGGCTGAGAATTTACTCGGTCTGGATCCGAAACCCAAAATTTTGATACATATCCAAAATGTAGATCCGAATAGTAATTTTGGATCCGAAACCTAAAATCCGGATCCGACTCAATTTTTTAATATATATATATGTTATAGTTTATATAGTCATTTATAATATATAATAATTTTAACTTTTACAATTATATTTTAAGTTATAATACATAAAAATGAAACTGATACGGATACGGATCCTACATATAGTTCCGGATCCGAAATCAAATATTCCAGATGAAATTGGATCCGGATCTGATGTATATTTTTTAGATCGCAAACTGGGTGGATCCTAATCCTATCCAAAAAATTCTCACCCCTAAAGGTAATGGTCCCAACATCACATTGTTTACAAGGTAACAAAATCATTTAATACTTAAACATGCGTCTGTGATGTACGTGATAGGATCTCTATGGGCTTGGTGCTAGAAGGATAGGGGTGACATCCCTCCCCCCCCTTGGATGCCTACCTGCAACAATAACACTCTTTGGATTTGGTAGCAACCAGTGTGTTTCTAGGATCAACAGTGATGCTCAGAACTTCAACAAGAAGCTCAAGGCAGCAACAAGTAGCCTGCAAAAGAAGCTCCCATCCCTCAAAATCGCGGTCTTCGACATCTACACCCCCCTCTTCGATCTGGCTAAGAACCCTTCTAAAAGCGGTATGTCCGAAAATGCCACAGATTTCATTCTCAGTAATTTCACAGTGAATTAATTTTTTGGAAGATTCCTATGCATCTAAGGATGAAATATTGAGGAAACCAAAAAACACGAAAAGTTTCAATCCTTATAAAAAAAAAAAAAAAAAATTGAAAATTTTAGGAGAAATCCTAGAATATGTAGACAAGCTCAAATTTTTTTGGCTGAAAATTGAGTACTTAAATATATTTCATACATTTTTTGAGCTATCATTAATGAACTTATTTGTGAAATCTCACAATTAATAGCATAATATTTTAAAAAGTTTGGTGATGTTTTGTTACCATGTGTGGAAACGACAGAAAATTTAATTATCAAGAGTTACTTGATAAGGTGATTTTTCAAAAGGTTTTCAAATGTTTATGTTTTTGTTTTGGGACAGCTTTTTATACTTCCGCAATTTTATGTAAGTTATGTACTTCCCTTATACAGTGGTCCAATCTGAATGGACGGATCTAAATGGACGGCTGAGATAGACCGAATCACAATGTCAAACCTCTATACTGTTGTATTTTTAATTTTCTTTTTTTCTGCAAAACATTTTGACACCAAAATTTGGGTGTCCACTTCTCTTAAACTCGCACTTGCAAAAATATTCTTGATAAAATAAAATAACTAAAATACCTCTAAAAGTTTTAGGGGTATTTTAGTCATTTTATTTTAAAAAATAATTTTAAAGTTTTTTTAGGTGCACTCCATTGAAATGATGACACGTACCAAATTCTATATTCATATGATTTGTAAAAAATATTAAAATAAAATACTATGAGGCATCGGATCTAGATCAAACTATAAGTGGCTAACTTGATCTAAATAGAACAGCTCGATGGGGGAAAGTATATAACTCATATATAATAGAGGAAGTATATAAAGATTACCCGTTCTATTTTTTTCCAACAAAAATTCAAGGCAAATATAAGACAGATCAAAGAAGAAAAACCAAGAATGATAGAACAAATAGTACTAAGAATAACAAAGAAACTTTCATGGAAAAAAAATCATCTTTACTTTATGATTTAAATGTCCTCATACTCATTTCACATTTCTTTCTTGTATACTTTGTGAATCTAAGTAGTTCGTTTTAGGATATTCAAATGCATTACACTTAAAATAAAAGAGAATCATCGTATAAAAGCCATTTTTGAGGAATGGAATTGTAACATTCCTTATTTTGGAGTACAGGATTTGCAGAAGCAAGAAAGGCTTGTTGCGGTACAGGGATCATAGAGACATCATTTTTATGTAATCCAAAGTCTCCAGGGACATGTTCCAATGCAACACAATATGTATTTTGGGACAGTGTCCACCCTTCTCAGGCTGCTAACCAAGTGCTTGCAGACTCCCTCATTGTCCAAGGCATCTCCCTTATTACTTGATCACTTCAACCTCCTCAAAAAGAAGTACAATAAATACTTAAGAGTGAAAATAATACATACAAGAGTGATTGTCAACACGTGTAACATAAGATGTTGATGTAATTTCATCTTTAGTTATCTTCTTTCATGTGTATGAATAAATAAAACTTGAAGTTTGGATTTCCTATCTGAGGATTCAAAATGTTTGTTTCTACAAATGAGGGGGACATATGGGGACCTCTTTCCCCATAATTAATTTTAGGAAAAATTTCATATAAAGGTGAGGCCCTAAATAATCAAATTAAGTCTCACATCCAAAAATCACTAGGAGAGGTTGCTTCAATGCCCAAAAGTCCTCAAATTGTTCATCTCAAACTCAAGATGTATGGACATGAGAAAAAATAGATTTGAAGTCCTGGAAATAGTACATCTTATAATGCATTTTCTGGACCGTCACTTTTTAAGATTTTCAAATGTTCATAGATCTACTTGATCTACACTATTTTTGAAACTTTAAATTTCATAATTAGTGATGAAAATAAATTTTCAAGCCATCACAAAGATTCCCAATATTGAAACATCTTTCGACACTATTAAAAGATGTGCCTTACTTTTGATTATTTTTTGCCTTAGCCTTATGCACACCGCACCCTTATTTTTAACCAAAACATATTAAGGGAAAATATTATATATTCATGTTGAGGTAGATTGTACACTTACTTATTGGAGGAAAAAAAATAATATGGCAAACACAAATTTTACATAGCATATTATTCATCCAAGTGATCAACCTAAAGAAAAGGAAATATCAATTCCCACATTAGAAAAGTCCAAAAAAATCTGGCCCAACAATGCATATGTACCAGTCATTTGGTGAACAGTGAAATCCATCTTTCTTAGAACTCAAAATCAATTTCTTTTAGTTATAATTGTTCATCTGGATCGATCAAAGATGTTATGCGAATTCTCACAGATGTTTTGCGGATTCTCGCAACCAAAAAATTATCCTAGGTAAGCGTTTTTTCTACATAAATGTACCAATCTACTCCTCCATGAGTATGCTATATGCACCCAACAAATAATTCCCACTTATAGCATTCAAATATGATAGGAATGGTGAAAATTTAAGTTGCATATTCACATGATAAATTCATCTCTTTTACCTTTATTCTTTGTCATTATTATGAAGGAGATCTGCCTCTTTTCTTCTTTTGGGGAAGTTATCTTCTAGCGTTGTACTCTAGAGCAGTCAAGCCTACCAAAGGTTAGGCTTTTTTTCAATTTCTTTTTGAAAGAGTTTACCGCACATCCAGGCTTTCGTGCCTTTTCGATAAAAGATCAACTTCTTTTTGAAACACTTCCCTCTCTTTTTGTTTTACATGCAGTTTTTATAGAGCCTAGGCACTAAACAATCAAATTAGAGCCGACCTTTAAAAAGTGCCTAGGCATTAAACAATCAAATTAGAGCCTACTTTAAAAAAGTGTCAAGAAATGTGGTTTTAATATTGAAACTCCTTGTGATAGCCTTAAAATATATTTTTATCTTTATTTATAAAGTTTAAAGCTTCAAAAATAATGCAGATCGACAGATTTATGAAAACTTGAAAATCTTGAAAATTGACGGTCCAAAAATGGATTACAAAATACATTATTTCCACAAATTGAAATCTATTTTTTTCTCATGTCTATGCATCTTCATGTCGAGATGATCAATTTAAAGATATCTGAGCATCGAAACAACCTCTTATTGTTAAAATTTTGAGATAAGCTCTTATTTGATTGTTTAGAGCCTCGGCTCTTTATAAACTTTTCCCTTTTGTTTTTAGGCCCATCCCTTTTCTTAAGGAGTTAAAAAGAAAAAGGTATTCAAGAAGCATCGTGAGAATCAATCCTAGGACCCACAAACACTTCCTCCCTTTTATTTTAAACCCAACCTTTTTGTAAGGAGAAAAAGGGAATAATGAAGAAGTATGGTGAGAATCAATCCCAAGAATTACCCCTAAGAGGAATATCACGAGCAAACCACTTAACGAGTAACAAATATTTTTAAATTTACTAATGTTCAATCAAGTAATCTACATTAGATGTCTTGGTTTATTATTCCACTCAAGCTCTTCGCAATATTTCTAAATATTTAATTAATTATTTTAATTTTCACTTTTAAAAATAGAATATATTAAAACTCTTCATGTTTTCAAATTTTATTCTACATATATTAAACCACAAATAAGGGCAGGACACAAGTCTTTGCTTCGGCCCAAAGAGGCCGAAAGCTTCATGTTTATGACCGGGGAGAAGCGAAGGAAAGCCTTAATTCCTTTTTTGCAGTGTTGTTGTAAGGTTATCCTCTCAAGGATGCATGATCACTAGGGTGAAAACCTTATTTATGGTCTTCTAGGATAGGGTTAAAAATTTACCCAATCCGGATCAGAAACCTAAATTTTAGATTTTGGATTAGGATACAAAATTTAGATCTGGATAGTAATTCAGATCGGGTCCAAGTACAAGTGGCTCTAATCAGGATCCGACCTGATTTTTAAAATAATAATATTATTTTATGGGTGCAGTTGGCATACCGATGCATCAGTAGGTGTAGAGGTAAGGTGCACCTTCAAATTATATCATGGTATATAATTTTGATGTAAAATGTTTTTAGGATTATCTCAAAATCTATTTTTATATCTAATTATAAAATTTTAAATTTCAAAAATGGTTAAAATCAAGTAGATCTATAAACATATAAAAATCTTGAAAATGGATGGTGTAGATAATATGTTGTAAAATGCACTTTTTCTGAGACTTAAAATGTTTTTAATTTTCATGGTCATACATCTCGATGTCGAGATGATCAATCAAAGGGTTTTTCAATACTAAAACTACCTTTTCCGATGGATTTTTGAGGTGCATCCGTAGTTTTACATAATAAGGTTGCATCATTATATAAACTTTTCCCTTATTTTATAGATATATATAATTATGTATTTATTAATTTATATATAATATATATAATTTTTAAGAATTTTAGAAAATTTAATTCGGATCCCATGTGTAAGTTTTTAATCTAGATCCCATGTATATTTTATTCGAATCCGGATCCAAACAATTTGGATCCGATCAGATCCAAATCCAAATCCATATCCCATGTATAATATTCCAATCCAGATCTAGATATGGCTGGATCCAAACCCAATCCAAAAAATTCTCAACCCTATTCTAAGACGACAAATTTGGGGTTCATAGCCTCCCAACCAAGTGATCTAGATTAGTGGTGAAATTGGCATAAGGTTGCAACCTTAAATAATCAAAGTAAGGCGCACCTCTAACCTTTGCCATAAGGTGCAACTTTTCTATCGAAAATATTTAGGAACTCTCAAGAATATGTTTTTATCTCTAATGACAAAATTTTAAACAATAAAAATGGTTTAAATCACCCAGTTTATAAACACATGATAATCTTGAAAATTGATGGTCCACATAATATGTTGTAGGATGTATTATTTTTAAGGCTTGAAACTTTTACTTTCTTACCATACTATATATATATATATATATATATATATATACGAGAGAGAGAGAGAGAGAGAGCGAGAGAGAGCAACGATTCAATGCAACGGTTCTACCGTAGTTTAATAAAACGATACTTCTAAAAACCATGTTTGTGGTATTTGTATAACCCCAAATTTTGCACACACACTCTCTTCATCTTAATAAACAATCCCCCCCAAATTTTTTTTTCAATTTGAACCCTAGATATGGTAAAAATGAGTTCCCTCCAAAAACTAATCTAGACCATTCATTTTGTGAATTTCAATATCTTAGCTACTATAAACTCAAAATCATTTTTTTATTTTTTAATATTGTTCATCTAATGATAATAAAGTCACCTAAAAAAATTGGAAATCAAAAGTTCTTTTAAGATCTAGGTCTAAGCATCTCACCAAAATGAACGGCCTATGTTAATTGGCCTAAATACTTTTTAGGTTGTGTTTTCAATTTTTTATTTTTTTGTAATTTGTTCATTAGAATGAAAAGAATGTATATTTCAAAATTTAGATCAAACAAATGGCCATACGATGGTTTTTTAAGGTTGTTGCATCATATTACTATAAAACAGTTGCATAGTAATATAATGCAACAACTTTCAAAGACCATGTTATTGTTTTTTCATTCTAATGAAAATTCACAAAAAAAAACAAAAAATTGAAAACACTACTTAGAAAGTATTTTTTTAGCCCAATTAACATATGCCGTTCATTTTGGTTAGATTCTTAGATCTAGGTCTTAGAAGGATTTTTTCATTTCCAACTTTTTTGGAAGGTTTTATTATCATTAGATGAACAATCTTACAAAAATAAAAAATTGATTTTGAGTTTATAAAGGCCAAGATCTTGAAATTCACCAAATGAGTGGTCTAGATTCGTTTTTAGAGGGCACTCATTTTGACCATATATAGGGTTCAAATTGAACCTCTTTTTTGGGGGGGATAGACTATTGAGATGAATAGAGTATATGTGTAAAATTTTGGGTCATACAAATACCACAAACATGATTTTTTAGAAGTATCATTGCATTATACTATGATACAACTGTTGCATTAGATCATTGCTCACACACACACACACACACACACATAGATATATATATATATATAGGGAATGCTTTCATGCAATAGTGGTATAGTAGTATAATGCAACCATCTTCAAAAACCATATTAAAGACATTTGTTTGACACTAATTTTTAATTGTACACTCTTTTCATTTTGAAGAACAATGACAAAAAAGATAATTTTGAAAAAATGCTTTAGAAAGTTTTCATTCTAGCCCAATTAATATAAGCCGTCCATTTTATTGAGATAGTTAGATATAGGCCTTAAAGGAATATTTTTTTCCCCAAAATCTTTATATAGCATTATCATCATTAGATTAATAATGCTAAAAACTAAAAAAGTGATTTTGAATTTCTTAAGGCCTAGATCTTGAAATTCACCAAATAGATGGTCGAGATTCATTGTTGGATGGGTACTAATTTTGACTATATCTAGGGTGCAATTTTTTTTTTTTTT